CAAACGTAAGTCATTTCTGTTTCTTAAGATGTTAGCGGCAACAGAACATTGGTCTTGGAGTCAGGGAAGCCGGATTCGGATCTTAGCTGTGCTGCTTACTACACATAGGTTTCCAAAGTGGGCAATACTGCTCCTTGGAGGGCGCTGGAACGATTGGAGTGGGATGGGATATAGAGTAGCCTTGGGTGCAGCTGAGGGGTATTGAATAAAATTAAGGGGCCAGTGGAAGCATAAGGAAAGAAGAGGAGAGAAGAGAAGGGAAGGGAAGGGAAGGGAAGGGAAGGGAAGGGAAGGGAAGGGAAGGGAAGGGAAGGGAAGGAAGGGAAGGGAAGGGAAGGGAAGAAGGAAGGGAAGGGAAGGAAGGAAGGGGAAGGGAAGGAAGGGAAGGGAAGGGAAGGGAAGGGAAGAGAATTTTGAAAAGCCATTCATATATGTTTCATCTGATGTATAACAGTTAAAGTCATAATGATTACATTATTTTCCAAATAAACACACAAAAATCACGTTATAACCAATCGGTTGGTCAAGTCTGCCAATAGGGCTTAACAAGCAAGTAGTGGCCTGCCAGTGTATAGTGCATTGTCAGGAAGTCCAGCATGCACTGGCAAGAATATGTGTATATAGGGGCAGCTAGATGGTGCAGTGGAGAGAGGCACCAGCCCTGGACTCAGGAGGACCAGAGTTCAAATTTGGCCTCAGACATTTACTAGCTGTGTGACCCTGGGCAAGTTACTTAACCCCAATTGCCTTAAAAAAAAAAAAGAATATGTGTATATAATGACTTGTTTACAATATGATACTATACAGTCACATGACACAATATTATGTCATCAAAATTTCAATGCAGGAAAAAACCCACGCATTTACAATAAGTTATTAATTTTAAGATGTATCATTTAAAAAATTATATATATTTTGAAAATGATGCAAATTTTAAAAAAACGTTAAAGGATTAAAGAAAATAGATTTCCGGGATGGGGGTGGGGGAATGCTGAGTAATTTTTTTTTAAAGGGGGACAGTAGGCCAAATAAGTTTGGGAACCTCTGTACTAGTGTAATCTTGGACAGCTGACTTGGCCTTTTAGGGTCTCATTTCCCCAAAAATGAGGAGATAGGACCAGTGGATCCTTCAAGTACTAGATCCTAATAAAGGGGATTCATGCCTCAGGTATAGACTGGACAATCTTAAGGTCTCCTCAATCTCTGAAGAGTCTCAGATTCTAATACCCTGAATTTCTTGTTCCTGTCCTAAGAAACTGCCTACTTCACGGTACTTTTCAACATCCTTTCCACTCTACCCAGTATTGTCCATTTGGCACTAACTGTTAAAATAAAGTTTTTATTTCATTTTCTCTACTTGCCTATGAATTATTATATCTCTCTCCTGCCGAATGGGTTAATACTGATTCTTTAAGTCAGAGCTTCTCAACTGTGGATTTTTGACGTCCTGGTCTATTTCCAGTTACTTAGAAAAGTATCAAGAAATTCTGAAATTCTACCAGGCAAATCGAAATTAATTAATCTTTCTTACTTAAAACAATAATTCCATGCCACACAGGATTTTTAGGATAGGGGTGGAGCAGAGTGTAATGAAATCAAACCAATAAAATAACAGCGGGGTGTCCCCTCCCCAAAGGCTCAGAATCACCATCTAAAGCACTGCCAGACAGATATTGAAGGAGGGCAAAACACTAATTTATTCATAAAGTGTCAGGCCTTCCAGGGAACTTTTCAAATAAAATGTGACACTTATTTAAATATTTACTGGCTTGTTGACCTATTTTCTTGGTTAATTAGGGTTTTTTTTTAAGAGCTACCGTAACAATGGCAAATTAAGCCAGACAGCCTTAATAGCCAGCTCAGCTACGAAAATCATAGCAGGAGGGGAAATGCTATTGGAAACGTTAGCAAAAACACTCCATGTGGAAAGAGGAGGATTTTTTTTTCCTTCTGGAGGATCCATGGTGTTGCAGAAACATGGAAGATGGAGAAGCATTTGCTGAGATGACTTCCCCCTCTCAGTAATTACATTTGTATACCTATTTCCCTCATTAAAAAGCTATTATCAGGTTCCTTCATTTTGCCAGAAAGAGTTTGGACATATTAAGTACTTCAGCAGTTACTATTAAACAAGACAAAACAAAAGCTATTTTTTAAGTTGTTCTCTCTTAGTATTTGGCCTTTTAGAAGTTTTAACTGCTTTGTACTTTTTTTGAAGGGTTCGAAGGCTAAGCTAACACTTCCTACTCATGCCCCTCTCAGAAACAATGTGTCCAGCTGCTCCTGGGGCCTTCTGGGAAGCTAGGCTTGGAGTATCTAGAACATGTTAATGGTCCCTGGTTACAGGGCTTGTGGATTCCTGTCACCTGTGACACAGAGGGGAGGACACGAGTGTCTTAGCAAAAGAGGGTATCAACTGTAGGAAATATAGTCGTTAGGTATCATGGAAAAAGAGGCAGCCAACGGAAGGAATTCATGTCTCAAAAAGGGAGAGAGAAGGGGAAAACGATGTTCAGGGAGAAGACTGTAGGAATGGAGTCACTCTAAGTGCATATCTCTGTGGTTTTCTGAACACTGTGCAAAGACAGGCAGGAGCCTGGAGTCAAGGAAGACCTGTGTTCAAATCCAGCCATCAACACTTACTAGTAGTGTGACCCTGGGTAAATCACTTAAACTCAGTTTGCCTCCATTTCCTCAGCTATAAAATGGGGATAATAGGAACTACCTCCCAAGGTTGTTGTGAGGATCAAATGAGATAATATCTGCAAAGCATTTAGCACAGTGCCTGGCACATGTGAGTGTTCAGCTGTCTTCAGTCGTGTCCAACTCTTCATGACCCCATTTTGACGTTTTCTTGGCAAAGATACTGGAGCAGTTTATTGGCTCATTTTACAGATGAGGAACTGAGCCAAACAGGGTTTGACTTGCCCAGGGTCATACAGCTCTTAAGTGTTCGAGGCTGGATTTGAACTCAGAGCTTACTCACTCCAGGGCCCACACTGTATCCACCGTGCCACCTCCCTGCTCGTTGGCACACGTCAGGGCTTAGTCAACGTTTGTTTACTTCCCTTTTCCCATGGACCCCACTTATGCCTTCCACGTTTGGATACTGAGGGTTCTTTCCACGTGGACACTGAATGTGACTCAATGACCAGTGCCTTGGAAGGATACAGGCAAGCAGTAATCTCAAAATCCTGTGCCTGGCACTCAAAGCTCTCCACAGCCTGCCCCCAGCCTACCTTTCCAAATTTATATCATGTTATCCCCTAAACATGAACTATATCCTAGGTATATTGGATGACTCTCCAACCCCTAAATAGGCACTTGCCTGAATTCACAGTGATCTCTCTGACTAGTATCATTTCTTCCATGTATCTTTAATTGCTGAATTTCTACTTATCCTTTAAAGCAGGGCTTCCTTAGTATGTGCGTGTATGTGTGTGTGAGTGTGCATGTCCAATTTTGTTGAAATAGCAAAATATATTACACAAGTTCATAAGCCTCAAGTTAAGAACTCTTATTCTAAAACTAGCTCAAATTCTAGCTCTTCAAGAAATCTTCCCTGATTGTTTTGGTTGATACAGACTTCCCACCACAGAACTTATATCTCCGTTCTGTCCCTCTCCAGTGAAAACTATTGTGTCATATCATGCTTAATTACTGGTTGTGTTGGCATCTTCTTCCCTACTGAGCTGTAATTTCCTTGAGGGCAGGAATCATAATTTATCTACACGTCAGATTCCCCCTGCCCCTATACATCACCCCCCTGCCACTTTTTGATCCAGTGTTAGAATGTAATAGGTTCTTAATCGATATTTCATGGTCATGGTGGTGTTGCTGTTTCCATCTTGAACACACTGTAGAAGGTGGTTTTCCAGGCACAGGTCATCATTATTGATAGAATTCCTCTCTACATCCCCATAAAGTTTCTAAAGCAGAGGAGATGTACTTTGTCCATAATGCCTTCTTCCTAATGCCTCCAAGTGGCGCAGGTACAGGCTTTACCTTTGTTAAACCACTAAAGGGCTGCCAGCCATTAAGAATCAACGTGAATCTATCTATTATATCTATTTGTTATTATTGTTATTTGTCCTTCCTTCTCGAAGAGGACCATGACTCAGGAAGATGATGCCATGACTAACAAGTGAATTGGAGTTAAATAAAGGAGGGCTGTGCAAGGGCAGCAGCTTCATTTTCTCTTCTGCAGGCATCTGGATCCGGTGATTTTATATACATTTACACACACACACACACACACACACACACACACACACACACACTCTCCTGGCAAGCACCTTGAGGGCAGAGAATGCTTCACTTTTGTGAAACAAAAAGCCAACAGTGGTTGACTGTATTCAGTCAGTCAAACCAGCATTTATTAAGCTCTTACTATATATACCAGGCACTGTGCTGAGTATTGAGAATGCAAAGAAAGGCAAAAGCATAGTTCCTGACCTAAGGAAGCTCACATTCTAATGGGAGAGACAACATGCAAATAATAGTAAGGCTTAGCACATAGTAGGCTGTTTAATTGATTGAACATGCCTCTCTTGAAGGGTCAGTGCCAGGGATGGGGAGATTCTATTTGCACTGTTTGAAGAGTCTCATTCATTCCCTAACAGGACCATGTATGGCCATGAGTGTTTCATGTTGTTGCTTTCACACGTCCATAGCTGTCATGCCAAGCCTTTGGGTTTGCAAAGAGTAGATCATCTGTCCTTGCTTTCACCTATCAGAACTCTAGCCATTTTAAAAAAGAAAACTTTCCTTCAGGTATTTCCAGTAGGGTGGGATGGAGTATCAGGAAAGGGGGTTTGTCAAAGGTAAGGCTGCAGTTCAGAGGTCAGCTGCTCGTTTCCCTGAAAGAGACAAATAGCCCCAGAAACCGTTTTTTTTTTTCAAGAGCAATAGGACCTGATCTGATACAAGGGGGAAGGACAGCATTTCTATTGCTGCTGGGTCCTTAAGGCAACAGAGGAAGCTAGTTAATGAGCAGGTTATACAATATTCATTGTGTTAGGTTTAATTCTTCAAACAGAACCATCTAATTGCAAAAAGAGGGAGAGAGAAGAGCTAAATTACAGATGTTAAGAAAACAAGTGTCTGAAAGAACTTTCTCTGTTGATAAAGCTAATACTTCTTATTCCACACAGCAACCATTTCTCTGCACTGAATACTTGCTAAATAACATTGCCTATGATTCCCTGCGCTGATCAGGAAGCATTCTTAGGAGCAGGGCTAGAGCTAATAAACACTGTGGAGCTGAAGGAAAGACCCACTGGGCTTGTGTTTTCAGACTGCTGTTCTCTTAGCTCTACCATTGGGGGTGATCCAGTTGTACTCGGCTTGAACTAACATGACACCGTTCTCCCGTATCTTTCTGAAGTGCATTCTTTCTCCGCCGTCTCTCACTGCAATGATGTCACTGTCAGGCTCCCCAAAAGACACTTCGGTCCTCTGGCGGCAGTACTGTGCGTGGAGGCAACGCAGGCCGGCGGCCAAAGCCATCCCAAGAGTGGCGGAAAGGCAAAGGAGGATCCCCAGCTGGGCGGTCACGACCCTTGTCTTTGGAGGGGAGCCGTGTTCCTTTAGCCCAGCACCTACAGTCTCAAGCACTGGCTTGGTCAAATGAGGGAGTCCAGTGCTATCTTCTCCATCGACTTCTCTGGGATCCACATACTCTGACTGAGGCAAGAGGCTGGCAGAGGCTTTGGAAGCCCAGATGGCCTTAGAGCCAACTGCCTCAAGGCGGCAGAAGCCTTTGAGGCCATGCTGGAGTTGGCAGGCCCACCACCCTTCTGAGTCTCTGCTTTGGTGACCATGATAAACTGAGAGTAGGAAAGATGAACAGAGAAAGGAGCTCCCATGGAGGAGGGAGATCTGGTCAGAGTCAGGTTGTAAGCCCCAGGCCTCTCCTTTAAAAGCAAACCAGGAAGAAATAAAAAGGAAAAAGCAAATAGGATCAGTCAGTTCATGATCCCAGGCCTGGAACCTTTCACTGACGTTTTCAATAAACCCACATTATGTTGCTGTTAAACTCTTCCATCTCAAGTTCAAACTGCTCTGAGCACTCCCCACTGAAAGACAGCAACTGAAAACCCCAGTCCCCCACTCAGCTCTCAATAGCTCTAAGCAAAGTGCATGGGTAGACAGACACACAGTCGTTATTGATGGTGGTGGTGTGGCTAATGGTGGCCCCACTGAGGCTTTGGAGGTCAGAATGAGGTCTAAAGTTGGGGGTTCTTTAAGAGCCTTCCAAACAAATATGTCATTCAAAGCCATTTGAAAGCTTTTAGCATGCCTTTCCATGCCAAGACCCCATGCAAAAGGGACCATTTAATCTTACTGTAGTTTCTGATAAATTTGAGTGAGAATATTATATCATGTTTTATTTTATGCTACTTCAAAGACTTCAAAGGAATAGTAAATCAGTGGGCATGTATATTTTATATTGTCCATTGATCTAACCTCTGAAACCGTATGTGGTTTTTTGAGGCCAGTGTTATGAAGAGTGGCTGAGTGGAGAAATTACTAACTGAGGCTAAGTGGGAAAACAAATCACTAAACCCATCAATTTCCACAATTGCCGATAACTTCAGAGACACTCCATGTAATGGAGAGGCTGGTATTGATTGGGAGAAAAACTGTATGGGTTCATTGTCCCCTTCTTTCTCTGCTTCTCTCTGACTTTGGTTTGTCTCATGACCACCCTTCCCCCTTCCTTTATAGCATCCCCAAGCCTAGCCTCTGTTACCCTGTGGCCAAAACACAAGAAACCCCACTTCTTACCTGTTCACCTTCATCACAGTGCAAGCAGGGCTCTACAGCACCCGAACCTAAGCCATCTTGGGTCCTAAAAAGGAGATAAAAGGAGCTGAAAGGCTTCTAAAACAATAGATCTACCATTCCTACCATAGTCTGACGCCCTTTTAAAATCAGATTCACCAGGTTTGGTCCTTATAATACTTTTTGGGAGAATAAAGCAATAGAGAGAGAGCAGGATTGTGGCTCACTGGATAGACAATTGACTTTAGAAGTTTTTTTTTTTTTTGGTAAGGCAATTGGGGTTAAGTGACTTGCCCAGGGTCACACAGCTAGTGAGTGTCATGTGTCTGAGGTCACACTTGAACTCAGGTCCTCCAGAGTCCAGGACCAGTGCTCTACCCACTGCACCACCTAGCTGCCCCGAGAATTGACTGTAGATCAGTAAGATTTAGGTTCAAGTCTTGCCCTGGATATAGATTGGCTGCATGACCTTGCGCATGTCACTTAACTTCTCAAGAAACTCTAAGAGGACAAGTTGCAGAACTACATGGGTAGAGAGAGATTCTTCAGTGGGAGATCCCTAAACCCACAACACCATAGGGCTAGACCAGAGGTTCCCAGACTTAATTGGCTTACCACCCCCTTTTAAAAAAAATTACTCAGTGCCCCCCTGGAAATCTACTTTCTTTAACCCTTTAATTTTTTTTTAAATTTGTGTCATTTCAAAAAAATATAAAATATTCTTTTAAATCTTAAATTCAAATATTAAATTGAATAATTTATTGTAAATTTGTGGGGGGTTTTCCTGCATTGAAATTTTGATGATGCAATATTGCATCATGTAACTGTGTAGTATTGTGCTGTAAACAAGTCATTACATGCACATATTCCTGCAGATGCATGCTGGACTTCCCAACAGTACACAATACACTCACCTGCCAACCTTGTTTGTCAAGACCTGTCAGTGGACTTGACCATTGATCGGTTATAACTTGCATTTTGTGTGTTTATTTGGAAAACAATGTAATCACTACGACTTTAATTCTGTTAGACAATAGATGAAACACATACGAACGATTTTTCATGATTTTCTTCTCTGCTTTCCTTATGCTTCCACCACCTTCTTATTCAATGCCCACCAATTGCACCTGAGGCTACTACCACCCCCTCTGGATCATGTCAGTGCCCCCCAGGGGGTGGTATCGCCCACCTTGGGAACCTCTGCCAGATCAAAAAAAAAAAAAAAAAGAAACCAGTAGTTATTGGAATCAGCTAAATACCACATCTCTAGCTGGGAAATAGATTCAATCTGAGACAGTACACAGTTCCCCACAGTGGTCTCTACGCCAGTTAGCTCTCTAGCATATTTCTTCATTTGAAAAATGAAGGAGTTTGATTAGGTGATCAAATGATGCCATCATACATTTAAAGCTTTAAAAGAGAGAGAGAAACCTTAGAGGTGATCTAATCCAACCTTCTCTGGGCAGCTAGGTGGCACAGGGGATAGAGCACAGGCCCTGAAGTCAGGAGAACCTGAGTCTGGCCTCAGACCAAACGCTTGACACTTAGTAGCTGTGTGGCCCTGGGCAAGTCACTTAACCCCAATTGCCTAAAAAAAATAAAATAAAATAAAAAATAATCCAACCTTCTTACTTTAGAGCTAAAGAAAGCAAAATGTGGAGAAACTGAGGAACCTGACTGAGGTCACATAGGTATGAAAGAAATTATTATTTCTCTCATAATATTAATAACTAATTATTGAATTAGGGCCAATATTTTCCCCCTTTTCTACTTCCTCATCCAGAAATCAACCAGAAATCTCTCTCAAAGACTTACCCAGTCAGGATGACTGAGATCTAATCAAAGAAAGTAAAAGAAAGTCTAAGTTTAGGCTAATGGGTTCATTCCTGCTCACTGTGTTTGCTCAGAAAGATCTGGGGAAATATTGATTCTCCCTTTTGTCAGACAGGGATGTGGAAATTGCTAAGTCTCTTTGACCAAGATTTGGGTGATCCAAGTCAGGTGCCCCAAGACCCTCACTCTAACATAACCCAGCCTGTCATTATAATACTAATTTTCTCATTGTTAACTAATCAGAGTTGATTGCCACCCTAGGAGTACCACAGACATATAAACTGTGAGTCTACCACAGTCAATGGTCTTTGCTCTAAGAGAGACAGTTAAATGACTATCTTTTTATTAAAAACATGCTAGCATTATTAATAAAATGATTAAATTACCCAGAAACGATGTCTCTTGAACTTTTTAAATGCCACAGTAAATCAATGGGACTGAATTTGAACTCAGACCTTCTGATTCCAAAGGTGCCTTCTATTCTAAAGCCTAGATGCCTGTACTCCTATGATTAAATCACCTCAATCAGGGATTTTAACCTTGTGTGAGCGTATGTGTCTGGGACTCTTTTGGTAGTTCGGCAAAGCCTACAGAACCCTTCTTAGAATAATGTTTTTAAATAATTGAAGGGAATGCAAAATTTCAGTTAGGTTAGTGAAAATGAAGATGTCATTTTTGTTTCCCACCCAAGTTCACAGACCCACCTTAAGAACACCTGAGTTACAGGGAAGGGAGAAGGAAGAGAGAGATGGAATTGGGAACTCAAAACTTTTTTTTTCTTTCAGCTAAAGACAAGGTTTATTAGAACATCCGCCATATTGGCCAGACTCTGAAAGGAATCTGAAGGTTAGTGAGCTATTGGCTAGATTATAAGAATCTCAGCACCTTAAAGGAGACAAGATGGACTTTACATACAGAAAGACTATGGGAGGGATCTAGGAATGGCCAAGTAGTTTGGGATGACTGAAGAGGGGGGGGTCTAAGGAGTATCTGGATGGGAATGGCCAGTAAGCTGTGGGGTGAACAGAACACCTGGGACCTGGACCACCAGGCCAAAGGAGAATGGAATCTAGATAGGATTAAGGGTGGGAAGTGGCCAGGGGCAATTGGGAAGTAACAGAACAGAATTGGGAGATAACCCAAAACTTTTTTTAAAAAAATGTTTAAGAATTGCTTTAACATGCTACTGGGGAAAAAATAAAATATTATTAAAAAAAAAAAAGAACACCTAAGCCAGACCCTAATTAGCATTCTTGAACAGCAGAGTAATGGAAAGTGCATTAAATGTGGCAGAGAAAGTTCTAGGTTTGAATCTTGGCTGTCTCCTTATTACTTTTGTGGTCTTGAACAAATCCTGTAAGCAGTCTGGGTCTCAGTTTCCTTATCTCTAAAATGAGGGGTGTGGACTAGATCATTTCTATGGTTGCCTCCAGATTCAAATCCTATGATAACTCATTTCACAGCACGCTGAATGAAGGAACAGAAAAGCTGGGTTTGCTTTGGCTCAAGGCCTGAGGAGACTTCTGTGATTTCCTCAGCTCCATTACCTCTGGGATTGCCCCAATACCTGCTATGATGCCCCACTTGCTGCTAGCCCAATACCGATTGTGTGTGTTGTGACTGGAGGCGTTATCCTCGAATGTGAAACTTCCCAAGGTCAAAACTTTCTCCAGTCCTTGGACATCAAGCGATGGCTCTAAGGTTTGGTCACGGTCTGCGTGATCACCGTCCCAGTCAAGCTGCCCTCTTTGGTCACTGCTACTGGCCATTTCTGACGTGTTACGGAGAGGAGAGGGTTTCAGAAGATTCACTTCATCTGCGGGAACCTCTGTAGTTAGGCCACCAAGAACAGGTTCCATGCTGTCTGTCACTGATGTTCCAGTCAGGCTGACAACAGCAAACTCTGCTGTCTGTGTATGCTGTGTAAGAGTGAGAGGGGGCCTAGAAACTAAGGAAATAGAGACCCAAAAATACAACAAAGAAAGAGCAATGGTGTTATCTTCATACTGACACAGGACAAAGCCCTGGATTTTGAATGGTTGTTTATTTATTTTTCAGTCATCTGACTCTCTGTGGAGTTTTCTTGGCAAGATACTGGAATGGTTTGCCATTTCCTTTTCCATCTCTTCTCACAGATGAGGAAACTGAGGCAAACAGAGTTAAGTGACTTGCCTAGGGTCATACAGCTAGTAAGTGTCTGAAATTGGATTTGAACTCAGGTTTTCCTGACCCCAGGCCCAGCAATCTATCCACTGTGCCATCTAGCTGCCCTGGATTTGGGACTAGCAGACCTAAATTCAAATCCTGGCTTTAACTCTTTTTTTTTTTTTTAATATAAATTTATTTATTTATTTTTAGTTTTCAATATTCACTTCCACAAATTTTTGAGTTCCAAATTTCTCACCCCTCCCCCCACCCCAAGATGGCATGCATTCTGAATACCCCTTCCCCTGGTCTGCTTTCTCTTCTATCTCTCCCCCCTCCCTTCTCTTATCCCCTTCCCCTTCTATTTTCCTGTAGAGCAGGATAGACTTCTGTACCCCATTTCCTGTATTTCTTATTTCCCAGTTGCATGTGAAAACATTTTTTTTTAAAACGTGTTTTTAAAACTTTGAGTTCCAAATTTTCTCCCTTCCTCCCTCCCGACCCACCCTCATTGAAAAGGCAGCAACTCAATATAGGTTGTACATGTGCAGTTATGCAAAACACTTCCATAGTAGACATGTTGTGAAAAACTAACTCTATTTCCCTTAATCCTATCCTGCCCTCCCATTTATTCTATTCTTTCTTTTGACCCTGTCTCTCCTCAGAAGTATTTGCTTCTGATTACCCTCTTTCCCAATCTGCCCTCCTCTCTATCACCCCCCTGCTCTCTTGTCCCCTTTCTGATCAATCATCCAGGTTGTCTTGGGCTGGAAATTTGTTTCATTCTGTCTTTTTGTGGGTTCTGCTGCTTCAGAATTTGTTTAGAGCCATTTTTTATGAGTATTTGGAGGGGTTTGGGGAGAGCTCAAGCAAGTCACTGCTTTCACTCCGTCATCTTGGCTCTGCCCCCTGGCTTTAACTCTTGATAGCTATTGCTACTGCACCAAGCCAGGCATACCACTGGTGGAAATGACGTGAGAACTTGAAATGATTATCTAGTTCATTCCTCACAAAAAACACAATCTGCTCACTTATCTATCTATCTCAGGTGAAAATACGTCCCTCCCCCAAGTATTAATGCTTCAGTTTTGTGCTTCACGGTGTAATGAAGTGTAATGTACTTCATGTACATGAAGTACCTTGAACTTCACAGTGTAATGTACTTCATTAGAGTAATAATTAGAGCTGGATTAAGTTAGTGCTTTACCATTTGCTTTTTTACGTACATTTTCTCACTTAATCCTCCTAACAATATTGTTATGTGGGCACTAAAGATGACTGTAATCTTCATACCTTCTTACAGAGAAGGAAACTGAACTCAAAGTTTAAGAAACTTGGCCTGGTTATATAGCTAGCAAGTAGGACAGACAAGATTGAAAAACGAGTTATACAATTTCCTCATTCTACCTAGCATAAACCAGAACAGTGTTTCAGGCAGCCCTATGTTGAGAAGAAAGTGATTTGCAAACCTTAAAGCCCCATAGAAATGTGATTTGTTATTGTTATTATTATTGGTTATTACTAAAGCCAAGGATAAATGTTGGGTCTTCCTAACAGCCTAAAGGAAAAGCCATTAAGGGTAGGCTATTCCAATTTGTCAACATCAAAAACTGATCTGTCCATTATTAGAAGGCCCAATGCAAACAATGAAGCAATCAGTTTCTTATGTTTCTTTAAAGGCCAAATGCCTGGCACCACTCAGATTTTGTTACTCTTCATGATTGCAAATCAGTGCATATAGAAATCAAAGTGGTCACTTGGCTCTCTCTGGCCCTCTCAGGGCTGGAAACTCAATTGACTCTAATTTGAAAACAACAGAATTCAAGGACCCAAGGATCCCAGCTGAAGATTTGGCTTCTGTTGCCATATCATTGGCAATTAGACCATCCGTAGCAGTAGTCGTGAGCTGGACATAAATTCTAACCAAGTATTTGTTTGCTGTCCAACTGGCCTTTTTTCATTCTGGTTAACAAGACTGCAAAGGACATGGAAAAAATAGACGTTATGAGTCTGTGTTACACAAATAGCATAGGACTGGTTGAAATTTGGCTGCCTTTATCTCAACATTTTTTAATTAAAAAACAAAACAAAACCAATTATGATAATGGAGGGGAAGAGATCACTGGGACAAAGGTCACCAAAAGAAGCAACACAGACATATGGAATATCATTGAAATGCTGACCACTAGACAAGGCTAGTCTGGACTCTGGCCAGTCAAATGTGACTTGCTCTGCCTAAGCAGAGAGAAAGAGAGAGAGAGAGAAATAAATAAAGTTAGCTCTCTGCCCTGGCTTGCTGAATTGACTAGCTAGACTAAGTTGGGCATTGAATGAGAACCTGGCTTCAATAAATACATTGGTGAATTTTTACAGATGCATATCAAAGTAAGAATTCAAACTATTAATAGCTTAGCTTTTTGTAGTAGCAAAAAATTAAGTAGTAGGGGCAACTTGTAATATGTGAAGGGAATGAAATATGAATATACTTTAGGAAAACATAAATATGAAGAATACAGAGAAGAATGGGAAGATGCAAAGTGAAATAAACAGCATGGCAGGTGGTGGTGGAATGTGCACAATGAAGTTGGAAAGAACAAAAGGAAAGAAATCAGAACTGAGTTCTGGGGAATTATAATGATCAAACTTGGCCCTAAAGAAGAGATATGGGAATTCTCCTATAGAGAAGTAGGGAAATGTGGGTATAGAATAGTGCAGATAATGAAGAATTTGGTTGCTGTGTGGTTTAGTTTTGCTAGGGTAGTTTCATAAAAAAGAAAGTAAATAGTTTTGAATGGATTATTGGTATGAATCAATAGCCTGGGGCTCATCATTTAGATGCAAGTATGATTTTAAGAGATAAATTTATCTGGGTAAAAAAGTATAATTAGAGGGGTCAGAGCTAAGATGGCGGAGTAAAAGCAGTGACTAGCTTGAGCTGTCCCCCAAATCCCTCCAAATTCCTTTAAAAAATGGCTCTAAACAAATTCTAGAGCAGCAGAACCCACAAAAAGACAGAGTGAAACAAATTTCCAGCCCAAGACAACCTGGATGGTTGATTAGAAAGGTCTATCCACCAGACTGGGAGAGAAACGCAGTTCAGTGTGGGCATGCAGGCAAAACAGGCCTCAGCAAACCTGGAGCAGGCCTCAGAGAACTGAATCCTGGGCAGCTGTGGTGGTTTCCAGACTTCTCAACCCACAAATGCCAAAGACAACTTAGAAGGTCAGTAGGAAAAGTCTGTGACCACCGTGAGAGAGAAGCTCTGTCCCAGCCCTAGTCCCTGCACAGCTTCGGGGTGGTGGCTGCTTCTACAGCTCTCTGCCCACAGAATTGAGGGGGAATCAAGTGGCTGATCAGAGGGGGATTGCAGAGATCTCTTTGCTGGTGCTGAAGCAGGATTCTCTTGCTTTGCCTGTGCTTGGATCTGGGTCACAGTTCTGGGTGGCAATTCTGGGGCAAGGAGAAGTGCTGGTGTAGTGGAACTTGTAGTGGTGGTGAAGGGAGAATCCTCCTCACAGTTCCAAGGCAGAAAAGAGTGCTTGTGGTCACTTATAAACCAGAGCATAGGCCAGGAACGGAGTAAACACCTTGCCCTTGATCATACTGCCTTAAAAATTAGAATGGAGCAATTGGAACTGAAAACTTACAGGTCCCTAGAAGTATCTCTGGGGGCAGCTAGGTGGTGCAGTGGATAGAGTACCAGCCCTCGATTCAGGAGGACCTGAGTTCAGATATGTCCTCAGACACATAACACTTACTAGCTGTGTGACCCTGGGCAAGTCACTTAACCCCATTGCCTAGCCAAAAAAAAAAAGAAGTATCTCTAAAAACAGCTGCACAAAACCCCCAAAGTTTGGGACAGTATATTCTCCACACTGGAAGCAGAACCCTACCTTAACAAAGCATTTAAAACTCAAGTAATTGGCTGGGATCATGAGCAGAATGCACAAAAAGAGTCAGACTATAGAATCTTAACTTTGGTGACAAAGAAGATCAAAACACATAGAACCAGAAGACAACAAAGTCAAAGCTCCTACATGCAAAGACTCCAAGAAAAATATGAATCAGTCTCAGTCCATGGAAGAGCTCAAAAAGGATTTTGAGAAGCAAGTAAGGGAAGCAGAGGAAAAACTGGGAAGAGAAATGAGATGGATGCAAAAAAATCATGAAAAACAAGTCAACAGCTTGCTAAAGGAGACCCCAAAAAATACTAAAGAAAATAACACCTTAAAAAATAGCCTAACCCAAATGGCAAAAGAGGTCCAAAAAGCCAATGAGGAGAAGAATGTCTTAAAAAGCAGAATTGGCCAAATGGAAAGGGAAGTGCAACTGCTCAATAAAGAAAATGCTTCCTTAAAAATTAGAATGGGGCAATTGGAAGCTAGTGACTTTATGAGAAATCAAGACATTGTAAAACAAAACCAAAAGAATGAAAAAAATAGAAGACAATGTGAAATATCTCATTGGAAAAAACAACTGACCTGGAAAATAGATCCGGGAGAAATAATTTTAAAATTATTGGACTATCTGAAAGCCATGATCAAAAAAAAGAGCCTAGACATCATCTTTCAAGAAATTATCAAGGAAAACTGCCCTGATATTCTAGAATCAGAGAATAAAATAGAAATTGAAAGAATCCACCAATCACCCCCCCTAAAAGAGATCCCCAAAGGAAAACTCCTAGGAATATTGTAGCCAAATTCCAGAGTTCCCAGGTCAAGGAGAAAATATTGCAAGCAGCGAGAAAAAAAAAAATTCAAGTGTTGAAGAAACACAATCAGGATAACACAAGATCTAGCAGCTTCTACATGAAGGGACTGCAGGGCTTGGAATGTGATATTCCAGAGGGCAAAGGAGATAGGATTACAGCCAAGAATCACCTACCTAGCAAAACTGAGTATAATCCTTCAGGGGGAAAAATGGATATTCAGTGAAATAGAGGACTTTCAAGCATTCTTGATGAAAAAAACCAGAACTGAATAGAAAATTTGACTTTCAAATACAAGACTCAAGAGAAGCATGAGGAGGCAAACAGGAAAGAGAAATCATAAGGGATTTATCAAAGTTGAACTGTTTACATTCCTATATGGAAAGATGATATTTGTAACTCATGAGACCTTTGTCGGTATTAGGGTAGTTGGAGGGGGAAAAAAATTATATGTATAGATAGATTGATAGATAGAGTGTACAAGGTGAGTTGAAAATGAATGGATGATATCTGGAGAATAAAATTAAGGGGTGAGAGAGGATTATACTGGGAAAAGGAGAAAGGGAGAGGTAGAATGGGGTAAATTAGCTCACATAAAACAGATGAGAAAGGCTTTTACAGTGGAGGGGAAGTGGGGAAAGGTGAGAGGGAATGTGTGAATCTTATTCTCATCAGATTTGGCTTAAGAGAGTAAGGGGATGATAGAGGACAGGGCAGATTAGGGGAAGGGGTAATCAGAAGCAAACACTTCTGAGGAGGGACAGGGTCAAAAGAGAATAGAATAAATGGGGGGCAGGATAGGATGAAGGGAAACATAGTTTTCCACAGCATAGCTACCATGGAAGTGTTTTACATGACTACACAAGTATAACCTGTATCAAGTTTCTTGCCTTCTCAATGAGGTAGGGAGGGAGGAAGGGAGAAAATTTGAAACCCAAAGTTGTAAAAACAAATGTTTAAAAAAAATTGTTTTCACATGCGACTGGATAATTCACAGGCAATGGGATATAGAAATCTATCCTGCCCTACAGGAAAATAGAAGAGGAAGGGGATGGGGGGAGGGGAGACAGAAGGGAGGGCATATTAGGGGAAAGGGTATTCAGAATGTACACTGTCTTGGGGTTGGTGTGGAGTGAAATGGGGAGAAAATTTGGAACTCAAAATCTTATGGATGTGAATGTTGAAAACTAAAAATAAACAAATTAATGAATCTTTTTTAAAAAAGTATAATTAGTAATATTAAATGGTGACAATGTGTTTTGCAGTATTTTGCATAGAACTTGGTATAAGCCCTGGCTTTGTTATTTATTATCGGTGTAACTTCTCTGGGCCTCAATGTCCTCAATTATAGAAAGATGGGGTTAAATTAGATGACCTCTAAGGTTCATTCTTTCTGGCTCTAAATCTATGATCATATGAAGATATGGCCCAAGAGACTTTATTTTCATATGCAATCATATACCAAAGGACATTTTTGTGAAATCCATTAGCAATTTATGGCAATTGACTTTGAACTAGAAAATGGGGGGAAGGGCAAGAAGAGCAATGTCATGTGAAAGACAGCCTAGTGTAGTGAAGAAGGCATAATTCTAGAGTCCGAAGACCTAGAGTCAAGTGCTGGCTCTGACATTTACCAACTCTATGATTTTGGGTAAATTCCTGAAATTGAGTCTCAGTTTCCTCATCTGCAAAATGAGGGGATTGGACTAGGTTACCTAGTCCAACTAGATTAGTCTAGTCACTAGAATACGTGTGTGCGTGTGTGTGTGTGTGTGTATACATACATATGTGTAGATCTACACACACACACACACACACACACACACACACACACACACACACATACACGCAGTCTTTACAACTCTAAATCTATGATCCAGTGCTGTTTTTGCCTTTAAAAATAATTTTTTTTCAATTAATAAATTCTACTAACAAATTAACAAAAATCTATTTTCTTTCCCTCCAACCTCACTCCCTGGGGGGAGGGAGGAGAAAAAGAAAAACAAAACCCTTGTTCCAAATATGCATAGTCAGGTAAAAAAAAATTCCCACATTGACCATGTCCGAAAATATGTCTCAGTCTCCACACTGAATCTGTCACCTCTCGGTCAGGAGGTGGGGTTGTATACCTTGTCCTAAGTCCTCTGGAACTGTGGTTAGTCATTATGATGATGACAATCCTTAAGTCATACAAAGCTGTTTATCTTTACAATGTTGTCACTATTTTATAAATTGTTCTCCTGATACCAGTGATTTTTAAGCAAGTCATATTTCCTTTATTTTTTCCCCAAAGGCTCTAGAACAGCTTAACGTCACCCAATGAGCCTGGATGCCAGATTGCTCCAGTTTAACCCCAAAACCACTCTGAGTTGCCTGGCCTTTGCCAGATATCGTATCTCTATCACTACTCCCATCCTCAATAGAATGTACACTTCTTCTGAGCATGGATTGTTTGTTTTTTAATTGAATCGCAGCATCTAGCACAGTTCCTTCTTTTTTACACATAGTCAATGATTAATTAATTGCCTATGGAAAAAAATAGAAAAAGAACCTAGTGGATAAGGGGGGAAGAACTCCATTATTTTTACTCTCTGTGCAGCTTCAGGGAGGTAAGGGAACTGACCAATATCTTCCATATAGGGGTCAGATGCCAAAGCTTTTTCACAAGGCTGCTCTGACCCCCCAGCCTGGAGCCTGACTGGGAATTTGTTTGGCAGAAGCAGACAAATCATGTTTGCAGTGGCACAGGTCAGTCAGGGATCTGTCTTTGTTCCCTTCTCAGTTTGCAGACTATAACTTTCCTAAGCCTGTGGGCTGTGAACTCAGCTTTTCCCTGTCCAATGCTTGCTCTGCCAAGGTAGGATACTAGAGGCAGTAACTTTTAAGTGAAAATAAATAACATGAAAGACAAGGATGACAATGAATAAATAAATATAGGGGATTAACTGTACCTGTGGTTGTGACTTCTAGGCCATTTGGTTTCTGCAGGCTTGCAGCTGGCTCCACATTGCCATCAGAAAGTGTTCTGTTTTGTGTCTGCTGAGACACGATGGTTGATTCAATCCTTTCCCAGTAAATGAAATATGACTGTACTACTGATAAACTGTTTGGGAAGAGGAAATCACTCTGTAATTCCCATGAATAAAGCTAGAGACCATCCTAATAGGAAGGGGAGGGTAACGATAGGGCAGGAAAGACAATTAGAAGATTAAATAAAATACAGGAACTCAAAGGATAGTATTTTGTTTTTCTTGAAGTGAACCTGCCCTAAAACAGATAAGTCCAGTATGGTATAATGAAAAGCACACTTGCTCTGAAGTCAGAGGACTTGTGTTCAAATTTTATCTCTGTCATTGATAGAACAAGGGTATTTTATTCAATCACTTTAAGGTCCCCCACAACTCTAAATCTGTGACTCTTTGATCATTTTTGGTATTCATACTCAGTTATTCTCATAGGTTCTTTCATTCAAAAATTTTACTATGAGTAATTCATAAAATTAAGAGCTGACAGAGCCCTTAAAAGTCAACTAGTCAAGCACCCTCATTTATAGATGAAGAAACTGAGGCCCAGAGAGGGTAAATTACTAACCTGATGTCATAAATAAGTAGTAAAGCCAGGATTTGAACCCAGGTTGTCTGATTTCTAAGTTTATTGCTCTTTGTACTACATAGTTTCATAGTCTTAAAGATGATTAAGTCTAAATATAAAGTTTCATTTTCAATTGTATTACTAATCATTACTGTGATGTTGTTATTAACCAGTTCTATAATTAATTGAATTTATAATTAATATATAATGAAAAAGTAATCAATTTAGTAGCTAGTGTAATTTCATGGTTAACCATTATAAAACACTTTTCACACATCCAATTTCTCATTCTAGGAAAAGCCCATATAAGGCATGGAGCCCTAGATCTGGAGTAGGAAGGCATGGAATCAAATCATTGCTCTGCTACTCACTACCTGTGTAACCTATGGTGGACTGCTTAACCTTTCTGGGACTCAATTTCCTCTCCTATAAAATGAGAGTTGAATTAGATCAGTAGTTCTCAATGTGTGATCCAAGGACCTCTGGGGGTCCCTGAGAACCTTTCAGAGGCACAGTGAGGTTAAAAGCTATTTTCGTAATAATACTGACATTATTTGCCTATTGAAATGCTCCGTTTCCCAACTATATATCTATGTGAGACTGGATTTTGTTTATATACTTCAACCAAAACAACATATTGCAACAGATTAAATAGAGAAGCAGATATATCCTATTAAGGCAGACATTAAAGAGATTGCAAAAATATGTAAAACAATGTCAATCTTCTCACAATTTATTTTGTTTAGAAAACATAGTTATTTTGCCATAAAAAGTTGCTTATAGTAACATAAAATTGGTGTATTATTGCTGTTTTAAATGAATTAATAAATATTTTTAATATTTATCAATTTTAACTTCTAATATGGCAAACATCAATAAGTGTAACTCACATAAACAAAGCTCTTTGGTGTCCTCAATCATTTTTTTTTGGGGGGGGATTAGGCAATGCAGTTAAGTGACTTGCCCAGGGTCACACAGCTAATAAGTGTTATGTGTGTGTGACCAGATTTGAACTCAGGTCCTCCTGAATCCAGGGCCAATGCTCTATCCACTATACCATCTAGCTGCCCCAGTCCTCAATCATTTTTAAGACTGTAAAGGGGTCTTGAGATGTAAAAGTTTGAGAACCAATTGATCAAATGATCTCTAAAGTCTCTTCTAGCCTGAAATCCTATGAACTCATTTGTCAACATACTGTCCCTTTGAGATAGAGATTACCAGTGTGTAGAACAGTAGGGATAGTATCCCATCTAAACATTTTGTTTTCTTAGAGATAGAACAGTGCCCTGCACACAGTAGGCACTTAATAACTGTTGAACTGGGCTACCATTCTCATTAATGAGATGGAGAAAATGTGTCATAAAGGGTTGGGTGAATAAAGGTGCTAATGTCACACAGAAAGCTAATGTTGAAATGAACTAAGTTTTAGATCTAACTCAATTGTATGCACTATCAAATAGAATCAATGTTACTGGGGAAATACAGATAGGTGAAAGAACACAGGTTGAGAGGCCTGGGAAACTTTGCTTCTATTTATGTATTTCATTGAAGACAAGTGTCAGCCATTCTGTGCCTCAGTCTCCACAGTGGCTGGAAGGCTGGACTTGGAGTCAAGAAGACCTAAATTCAAATCTGATCTCAGACACTTAATAGCTATATGAACCTAGGCAAGTAATCTAACCTCTATCTGCCTCAGTTTCCTCATTGTAAAACAGATACAATAATAGCATGAACCTCATAGGGTTTTCGTGAGGATCAAATGTGAGATGTGATAATCCTTTGCAATCCTTGAAGCTCTATGTAAATGATAGTTTTTGTTATTATTAATGTCCATCTGACCTAACTCGAATAGAGACATCACAATGAAGTGGGATGATTGGTGTTAAAGGACTTTGAAAAATGAAAAACCCTATACAAAGGAAATTAACTCAAAGTACTGCTACTGAACAGTTCAGTCCAGTCTCCCATTGGGGGTTTTCTTGGCAAAGATACTGGAGTGGTTGGCCATTTCCTTCTCCAGCTCATTTTACAACTGAGGAACTAAGGCAAATAGGGTTAAAGTGATTTGGCCAGGGTCACTCAGATATGCTTGACTCCAGACTTAGCACTCTATCCACTGTGCCACCTGGTTGCCCAACCCAAAGTACACCAATTCTTTCTACATTCCTGACCCCAGGCCCAAAGAAAATCCAGAGCCAGAGCAGAAACAAATTAGTGGCAATTATTCATTTCAAATCAATTCAACAAACATTCATTAAATACCTACTCCAAGCTGTGCTAGACGCTGAGGATAAATTTTAAAATAATAATAATCTTTGCCCTTAAGGATCTCAGATTCTCTGGGGGGTGGATGAAGCCATGAAAGGGGGCACAGTTTGGCCTTCCCAGGTGTGTCCTGGGGTATCATTAGGAGAAGAGAAATAGCCTCTAGCAATAGGATAGCCCAAAGCTGTCTGCAGCCCATCCGTGTAACTGCCCTTGGATTTCTAAATCTGGAGGACTCACACAGATGACCATCACTCTAAAGGTGAGATGGCCAAGGTGGCCATCCCACAGGGCAAGATGGGGCATCACTGGCTACTTTGTGGCAAAGACAAGGAGAGGAGCCTTTCTATCTGTGCCCAATGTAGAAAGCTCAGGCGCCAAGACACAAATCTCTTTCTTTTTCCCAGCTTACAAGAACTTGATGTCCCCAGTGGGTTGGTGTGGTGCCTTCCACACAAAAGACAGATTTCTCTTTGGGGATTTGTCCGAGTGGGTGACTGTATTGGCCTCTTCAAAACAAGACATCAGTTTGGAACCAGAAGGGATGAAAACAAAGGTGCCAGCAATTTGGTCATTAGAAACTCTGCGAGCCTGGAGCAGGAATCCCATGAAATCCCCACGACTCCTCACGGTCACTAAAACATGAAAGGATGAGTCATTCGCCCAGCCAGCTGGTGTGATTTACAGAAGTATTTGCAAAATAGTCACATGATTGGTCTTTCCCTCCTCACCCCCTTTTCTCAAGTCAGAGAAAACTACATTTTCATTACAGTCAATACTGAGCTCTCTATCACAGGAGATTGAAGAGTGTGGACTACCACTTTTAAGGGATATTGTAGGGAGCGAATCCCTATTCAGGATGGACCAGAGAGCCTCTGAGGTCACTTCCAACTCTCAGTTTCTGTATTTTCAAAGTGTGTTGCAATTATTTTGGTTTTGAACGTTTCTGGGTAGCGCAGTAGCAAGAAGGATATCATCAGGGATGAATGACCAGTTTGGCAATGAAGTGAGAGCAAATGATAAAGACATGGATCGTTCACATATTCCATTAGTATTGGCACGATGTTAAGAGATGGAGAAGATCCTCTGCCCTGCTGGGTTGCCTTCTGACGCAGAGGACTTATGATATGAGTTCCACTGGGTGAGACATTGTGGGTGGGATGTGATTTGTGTTGAAGAGAGTGCTCAGTGAATCATAGACCCATCAAAGTACTGAAGTATCCCTGTTCTCCAAACTTGGAAAGGACCCATCTGTCCATTCCCATACCGGAGAGCAGTTAAGTGGATCTGAGTTCAAATCCTAAAACGGGGATATACGCCCACCTCCCAAGATTGTTGTGAGGATAAAATGAGGATAAAGCACTTTGCAAACCTTAAAGTGCTATGTCATTATTATGCTAGTTATTATTATTATTCCCAGATTGATATATTCTCATATAGGAAAAAATATGTTGATTTCTACGCATGTAATATAACATATATAAGAGCAAAGCATTAATTTTAACATATTATGAGATTAATGAGCATGTTATAAATAATAACATTTCTAAGCTCACTATTTCTGAGACAAGCATTTCTGATTCCCCTTAATGCTAATGCTTTTTCTCTGCAGATTATCTCCAATTTATCCTGCCTATAGTTTGCATTTTCCCCCTATTAGACTATGAGCCCCTTAAGAGCAGACATTGGGTGGGTTTTTTTCTTTGTTTCTTTGTGTTCTCAGCGCTTAGCACATGGTAAGTACTTAATAAATGCTTGTTGACTTGACTAGAATTAAAAATCAAGCTGTCTTATCTGCAAACTCTGTGGAAGAACAATTCATGAGACTAAAACTTAAGCCACGCCATACATCTTTTTAATTTGAATTAGAACAAGGTGTGGTGCTAGCCATGACTGGCCATCCCTAGAATGTGGTCCTTATCATTACACCATATTAGCCACACTGATCACTTCACAATGCACTTACTTCAGGAACAGCAAATAATGTGATCATACCCTTTTAACTTTTTATAATACCCCAAACCATCTCTTAGCCTGAAATAGGAATAAAGAAATACATTAACAATAATGAAGTCACATCATAATGGCATCATAACTCATTGACAGAAAAGCTACATGGGAATTATCCTGTTCTGTGTTTATGGAAGAAAATGTCAGAGAGATTAAATATTATATATGTATATAATACACATGTGTATTTTATACATACAAATATTCCCTCTTAAAGATTTGTTGCTAAAACAATTAGGACTAATCCAAAATGCAGTCCAGAGAACTTTACCATTAGACACATGTACCAGGTCATGAATTCTATGATCTGAAATTCTTGGGAGGGTGTCACGTATTTTGGCACACTTACCTGGTACTTTGTCACCAGGAGAGTAAGAGGACACATTGGTATAGATGGTAATGTAATTGTTCCTGGGATTCTGAAGTTGGGCTCTGATGTGTCTGGGCTTCATATCAACACAAGCCTCAAGGCTTGCACCATGAGAAAAAGCATCGGTGTATGAAACCAGACAGAAGAAGATGGTGTATACCCATCCTATGATGGCTGCTTGGATTTTCATTTAGTCCTTTACCTGTGACATGAAAAATAATTAATGACTCCACTTCAGACACTATGCAAGAAAAAAAAAATCCACACAGGTATAACAACCAATGTTCAAGAGATACTTTTAACATTATCAACAGATTTCACATGCTCAATAACTAGACTTAAAAGATTAATGTCAATGTAGAGATCGTTACATATTTCATATGCAAAAACAGTTCCTTTTTTTTAGGTGATTGGGGTTAAGTGACTTGCCCAGGGTCCACAGCTAGTAAGTGTGTCTGAGGCCGGATTTGAACTCAGGTCCTCCTAACTTCAGGGCCGATGCTGTATTCACTGTGTCACCTAGCTGCCCCAAAATGGTCCCTTTTAAATCATTAAGGTGATGGTGTTGCAAAAGATTTGTTTCTTAGCACTAAACCAAGATGCAGTCCAGAAAACTTTCCCATCAGACATATGTAAACCAATATAGAACAACACCACTAAATGAAACTACAGACTCAAAAAATATGCACATGCATCAGTAAAATCTGAGTCTTATCTGCCTGGCTTGGGCAAGGCAAGCTAAAAAGAAGACAGTTTTCAGTAGTCCTTGAGTAAAACAATGCATAGTTGGTAACTTTTTCATATTTATTGGACCCTGCTTGGTTTATTGATAATTCTCCCATTTGGCTCTTCATATCCGTTGTCTTCTCCTTTCCTAAAGTTTTTCAAACCAACTCCCAATGAAAGGCCATGTCTTGGACTTGGTAAACAGTCCTGTCCATTTCTCTCTTGGTTCTTTTCTCTCCCATTTTTCTCTCCCTTCCTACGTGAGAAGAACTACCTAGCCCATGCTTAACTATGATTCTGTGTCCTCAACACCATCATCATCCCCCCTCAAGGTTATGGACCATATGAAAATATGAAAGGTGGTAGTACAGTTAGATGAATTCAGAACTAGTTGAATGTTATGAGGTAAATAGAGAAGATCTAAAATAGTGAAGGGTAAAGTAAAGAAAAAGAACAATAGACCCATAACAATAATGAAAATTCAAAGTGAAAATTTTAAATAAAATGGTAGTAGCAATACCATAACAATATATCCAATAAATTATTCACTATGATAAAGGTGACTTGCCAATTCAGTCTTAAGGAACAATTAATGTAACTAATCACATTAAAAACAAACCACCCAGAACTAGTTGCATGACCAGTAGTCATTAATGAGTCAATCTCAACACAAAGAGAGGTCTCTAGTGGAGTATCCCAAGGATCTGTGCTTGGCAATATGCTGTGGAACACAGATACCTATTAATGACTACAGTAAAGGCACAGGTGGAATTATCAGATTTGCTGATGACACAAGGCTAGGAGTAAAAGCTATTGAGTAAGGGTGATCTTTTCTCAGCATGCAACCTTCTGGACCTATCTGCTGCATTTCACACTGGGGCCCATCCTCTTTCCTCCTGGATACTCTATCCTCTCTGAGTTTTCATGATAGTCCTCTCTCCTGACTGTCCTCTTGCTTTTCTGATTTCTCTTTCTCAGTGTCTCTTACTGGCTCAACATTCATCTCACAACAATAATAAGAGCAATGATAACAATAGCCAGCTTTTATATAAGTGCTTCAAGGTTTGCAAAGTGCTTTACATATGTTAATTCATTTGATCCTCACAACAATCCAATGAAACAGGTAGTTTTATCATTCCAATTTAATATATTAGGAAACTGAAGTTAAGTAACTTGAGTTACTTAAGTCAGTCTTCCTGACTTCAAGTCCAACACACTGTGCTATCTAGCTACCTTTCAACAACTGTCTCTAATGCTCCTCTAACTGTGGGGTGAACCCCAAGGTTCTCTCCTGGGCCTTCTTTTCTTCTCTATGTTCTCTCTCAATAATCTCATCAACTCCCATGGGTTTAACTATCATCTCCATGCAGATAATTCAAAAATATCTATATCCAGCCCTAGTTTCTCCCTATTCTCCCCCTGAGAGTCTCATTACCCATTGCCTATTGGACATTTCAAATTGGATGTCCCATAATTATCTGGGAAATCCAATAGGACCAAAGCAGAACCTATCTCTCCCCTTAACTCCTCTTCCGTTTCCAAATGTCCCTATTTCTATTGAAGCACAACCATTTTTCTCACCTGTCAGTTTTGTAACCTGCCAGTTCTCCTACTCAACAAAGTTCATGAGACCTTATGATCTCTAGGATAAAATATAAACTCCTATCTTTAGCTTAGAAAGGCCTTCATAACTGACCTCAACCCATCTTTCCAGTCTCATTTTACATTATTCTCCCTCTTATTCTTTGTGATTCAGCTAAACTGGGATTCCTGCTGTTCTTCACACATGTCATTCAGTTAATTCAAGCTTTTGAAGCGAACTTTTTCCCATACCTGGAATACATTCCATTCTTACATTTGCCTCACATAATATCTCTCTTTTTTCAAGATGCAGTTCAAGGATCATATTATATATGAAGTCTTTCCTTCCCTCCCCAAATACTTCTCCCATTCTTCCATTCCCATCTATTTTGTATTTATTATTTTTATATAACACATACACGTTGCTCCTTTGGATTATAAACTCCATGTGAGTAGAGATTATTTTGGTTTTTGCTTTTATATCCATAGCACCTAGCACAGTGCCTGACACATAGTAAGTCCTTAGTAAATGTGGATTGATTGAGTGACCCAGAAATATCTGGAAAGACCAAAAACATTTAATAAAATTTAATAAATTTATTTAATAAAATGTAATAAATTTAATTTAATAAATTTATTAAATAAATTTGATAAAATAAATTAAATAAAAGTTAATAGGGACAAATGCCAAATCTTAGACTCAAATTAAACTGGCAAAAGCAATGTCACCGGTATAAGATGGGGAAGCCAGAGAGTTTGAGATAGATTTGGAAATTGTAGGGAATGGTAAGCTCAAAATGAGACAGCAGTATATCATGACAGGCCAAATAAAGTGAAGGGATCTTTGGCCACACCAAGAGGTAATCACAGTCCATTCATACTCCCCTCTATTCAGATTGCATTTCAGACCACACCATGCTCAGTCCTGGGTGCCATAGAAAGGACATTAACAACAGATAGAACATCTAGAGGGGAGTGATCAGGCCAGTGAGGGGACCTCTACTGGGTGCCATCTAAGTGTCAGTTGAAGCAACCAGGGATGCTCACCATGAAAATGCTTTTGTTCGTTTGTTTTTTAAAGACTGGTTCTATGTATCTTGTTCAGGCTGGAAGGACATAATAGCTGACTTTAAGAATGTGAAGGGTTGTTACATGGATGAGGGATTAGATGTGTTCTGCATAGCCCCAGAGAGCAGAAACAGAAACAATTGATGTAAGCTGCACGGAGGCAGAGATTGGTTCAATGTGGGAACGTTTCTGATGATTAAAATGATCTAGAAGTGGAGTCTGATGCTTTGGCAGGGAGTGGATTCTACCTGCTAGAGATCCTTGAGTCGCCTGGCTGCCTATTGGATGTCTTCTCGAGGGAATTCTCAGTCATGTTTGAGTTGAACTAAATGAATCCCGAGGTCCCTCTTAACTCTGAGATTCTATGTAATGCTAGGATTGAGTCATATTCATCATTTGCATATTTTTAATCCTATCTTTTTTGTTGTAGTTTTAATAAGCAGTAGTTTTGAGACAAGCCTGCCTCATTTTAACATTGAGTTAAGACGTGTGTGTGTGTGTGTGTATACACAGAGTTAGAATAGAATTTATATATTTTGACATGATAAAAATTAATGAAACAGCATGATATCAAAGAGAGAACCTATAAGGAGATGTATTGTTGCTTTTACTGACATCTGAAATTCAAACACAGATAGTTGGCTTGGCAAATGGTCATTTGGGCTAGATGCTATCTAGTTGTTAATTAAAATATTAAAGCCCCAATATTACAAGATTATAGGTAATGTCCTACTATTCAGATTAAACATGCAGTTTTAAAATATGCTTGTTTAGCTATATTAGCCATGTCACTGTTCTTCAGCAGAGGGTGAGTAAAAAATAAATCAACACATAAACTAATTTATTTCCTGCTTATTCTAACAAAATTTTTGATAGAGAAAGAGGCCGAAATGATTGTTTTGGGAGGCAATCTGGGGTAAGTGACTTGGCCAGAGTTACACATCTATTAAGTATGTGAGGCCAAATTTTGAACTTGGGTCCTCCTGACTCCAGGATGGTGCTCTATCCATTGTGCCACCTAGCTTCTCCTTGAAATAATTTTTTTAAAGTGAAGTTGGGAGATTTACAGTGAATTTCATAGAGGGCCTTCCATGAAGTCAAGAAGACCCAGGTTCAAGATCTGTCTCTGACGTATAGGAGATGTGTGGCCATGGGCAAGTCAGTGAACCTCTCAGTGCCCCCAGACAACTCTCTCAGAATATAAATTACAGGGGAGTTCGGTATCTGTATCAGTGGAGATTTTCTGCACCAGGAGTTCCTCATGCTCATGAAATCACAGATCTAGACTTTAAAAAAAAAAAAACCTCTAACTTCCATGACTTCAGAAGAAGGAAGCTGATTAATATTTTTTAAATGCATACAGACTGGAAAATGGATATGTGCAAAAAAAGTGATAGAAAATGTCAAATAAATCAAACAAAAAGTCCCCCCAAAAATATGCAGAATAATTGCAGACATGTTAAAAAATTGACCATTAACTTTGAAAGAGCCCCTCAAGGCATCAGTCCTCCTATCTGGAATTACAGCTAAAGGAAGAAATTTCATCTGAAATAGGATTACAAATTTGGCTATAAAAATTAGACGTTAAGAAAAGAATCTACCCCCAGAGTTTTCTCCAACCTCACCCTCACCCCTTTCCTTTAATGTGGAAAGATTACAGAGGGAGGGGCAGCCAGTTAAGAGAAATGTCCTATAATTCTTTTCTGGGAAACTTCCAATACTGTGACATACACTACTTTTCTCATGGGAACTTGGTTTCCAAAAGGGATGAACTGATATGGTTAATTACTGTCATCTCTCAGGCTCCTTAAGATGTGGCAGAAGATGAGCAGTAAGAGGAACTTGGCTGGCCTGGTCAGCCAGCCCCTTGACTCTATTCATTCTCCTTCAGAGGGCAGACATGGAAGACCATTTCTGGAGTTACTGGCAAAAGTCATGTTTCCCCAAAGTCAGAAGGAACTTATATGACTATGGATCAAGGAGAAAAGTGCATGCCAAACATGTAGGCACACCCAGAATGCTGCTACCCAGTCCTGGCCCAGAGCTTTCTCCTTCAGATTCAATACCTTCTCTAGCTGAACTGATTTGATAGAAATGCCCACTTACTTTGGGAAGATGTGCTTCTTCAGTCTTAATTCAATGGTTTTACTCTTCAGTTTTCCAAAGAAACATCCTTTAAACAAAGTTGTTGCCTACCCCACCTTCACCCTCACTTTCTCCACTAATGAGAAAGGCAACAGCTGTTACCACTAATATTCATTATCTTCAGGAACTCAGTGTCCAAATCCAGTTTTAATCATATTAGTTTTACACACACACACACACACACACACACACCCTACACTCCAAAACCCTCATCAACATTCTTATTTTCAACTTCAAGACTGCCACAAAAAACACTAAAGAATAGCAAAGAATTGGTTTTGCCTAGGTCCTTGGCCTTGGCATCCCTGACTGAATAAAGCTCAGTATGCGGGGGCCCTTGTTTGACTCTGCCTGGCAAGGCAAGGATATTGGAAACAAAGACATTTCAGCTGTCACTGTGGTAGACTGAAGAAACCCTCACTGTTGAAGTGGGAACTGGGCCATGCCCAGAGTAGTGCTATGTTAGGTGATAAAAAATCCCAACTCAGCCTTGGTTAGTGTTAAAATCATAGCATCAGAGACAAGAAAAGAGAATTTCAAAGTCTAGGCCGCCAGCACCTGAATCCATCCCTCCTGGGATTTGATGGCAAAAGTGGGCTTTTTCCGAAGATGACTGACCCTTACCAAGATTGAACTTTTATAAACAATGCTTTTTTTTTTTGGACAAAACTTTTATGTACCTTAGCCGCTATGCTAGATAGCAACATTTGAATTAGTGGACCCTGTTAGTAATACACTAGCTACCTCACAGAAGTGTCCTGTGGGAGGGGAGAAAGCATTTTGTTAGAACCCTGTGTAAATACTAGCTGCTCTTTTCAAAGGAGCACATAAGACTTGGGTTTGTGTTGGCTCTGTCATTTAATAACTGGGTAACCTTGGGCAAATAAACATCAATTTCTTCATCGGTAAAAGTGAAGACAAAAATTCCTAGGCCAGGAGTTCTTAACTTAAGAGTCCACAGGCTCTCAGGGGGTCCATGGATAGATTTCAGGGGGGTCCATGAACTTATTATAATTTCTATAACTGTATTTAAATATAATTTTGGTAATGCTATATATGTTATTTTATGCATTTAGAAACATTTTTCTGAGAGAGGGTCCATAGGCTTTACCAGATGGTCAAAGGGCACCCAAACCATTAAGAATCCTTGGTCTAGCCCAGGGGAGGGGAACCTGCGGCCTCAAGGTCACATATGGCCCTCCAGGTGCTCAAGCGCAGCCTTTTGATGGAATGCAGTTATCAAAGGGCTGCACTTGAGGACCTAGAGGGCCACATGTGACCTCGAGGCTGCAGGTTCTCCTCCCCAGTCCAGCCTATTTATTTCACAGAATATTGAATGAATATTAAATGAAAGAGCTTATATACTATAGAATGGTGGTGTGTGTGTGTGTGTGTGTGTGTGTGCATAAAGTTGTTATTTATCATGTTATTACTATCATGTAGAAGAGTCTCAGAAGATAAGGTCAAAAAATAATATTTTTAATATTTGTAAAGTTCTTTATAACTATTATTTCATGTGATTCTTGCATAAGCCTCCTTTCCCTTCTACATAAATTTCTGATGAGAATAGAACACACCGACTGTTGTCTTTATCATCACACAACTGACTGAGATACAGAGAATACAAGATCTTGTGCTAATTGTTCAGGAGCAAAATGAGTCCTTCGAGGTTCCCTTCCAACAAGATGTCTTCTGCACATATGCCAAAATTATGCAAGATTCCTTGAAAGATAAAAAAAAAAACAGAAATAATCTTGTTCAATTGCTCTCTGACCATTAATATTGAGCAAGACAAAAAAAAAAAAGGGAGAACTCTGTTAGCCAAGAGTTTTTTTTTTTATTGTCATCAAGGAAATCCAGCATAGATCAAAAGGAATTCCTTGGAGATTGAAGTCCTCCAGATTTTCTTGTTTTAAATATGACATTGTGCTAATTGCATTAAGCCTTAGTAGAAAATTGCAGCACCTCCTGAAAGAGATCTACAACCACTCACAAGAGTTTGGCCTAGTGATTGACATAGGATGTTTTTTTCCTGCCTCTTATCCATATCCATTGCAAGTGGACAAATTGGACTCAGAATCAGACAGGAAGGGAGTAAGATGGATTGCTTTGCAAACTGCAGAGCTACTTTAATGACCCAAAACCATTCCTTGAAACAAAGGTCCAACTTTTTGTGTTTTTTTAAGGATGAGTAGTCTTATCTTGTCCAGGCTAGAAGTGCAGGGTCTACTCATAAGTCCACACCCATCACTAAATAGCATGGGACCTTTGACCTGCTCCATTTTTTGACCTGGGCCAGTTTATCCCTCTCTTGGAAACCGGGTTGCCTTCTCCTCCCAGAGGTTCGCCAGTTTAATGTCCAACAGTGCAGATGCCCTAGCCCACTGTAGCTCAGAACTTCTGAGAGCTTGCCATCTGCCAGCCTTACCATCCCTGGTAGTAGGGATTACAGGAATGTGCCACCATGTCTGACATCCAGCTTTTTAATTTCAATTTTCTGTAGATAATGCTAGGAGGCTGTGAGTTGTGGAACACACAGGCTCCAAAGAATTAAAAATGAGTGTTTGTTAGATATGAATAGAGAGGCATTTGGTAGGCTAAAAGAGCTAGTCAATAAGTATTTAAAAAGTGCTTACTCTGTGCTAGGCACTGTGCTAAGTGCTGGGAATACAAACACAAGTGGAAAGACAGTCTTTAACCTCAAGGAGCTTATATTCTACGAGAGAAGATAGCATGTAAAAGGAAGATGAAAAGGGAAATGGTGCTGGAAGGGGGAGAAGAGATGAAGGTACTCGGTATGGGGTAGAGAAAGTCTGGAGAGTCAAGAGTGCAGCCTAGAGAGGTAGGAAGACATAGTTGGCTTGGGGGACCTCCTTAAAGGGTGGTTCTGGCAGGAATCCACCCATTAGAGGGAAAGGCTACAAGGGCACAAGGTGCTTTCAGTGTGCAAAGTCCAGGCGTAAGTGAGCTTCTAGGGTGAGGAGCTTTCTATGACATGGTAGAGAAATAATACAGAACTAAAAAGAAGGTCTGAAGTAAAAGATCTCATTAAATGACATTGGAATATAAGATGACTGTTCACCTGGTGAGAATGAAGAGTAATGGTTATGCAGCCCATAGAAAGGCAGCTAGGTGGTGCCAGAGTGCACAAAGTGCTGGGCTTGGAGTCAGGAAGACTAATTTTTGTGAGTTCAAATCTGGTCTCAGATACTTACAAGCTGTGTCACCCTGGGCAAGTCACTTAACCCTTTTTGCTTCAGCTTCCTCATCTGTAAAATGAGCTGGAGAAGGAAATGGCAATGCACTCCAGTATCTCCAGCAAGAAAACTCCAAATGGGATCAAAAAGAGTTGGCTGTGACTGAAATGACCAAACAACAATAACAGTCCATATAAACTCTAAGGATTCTTATGCCCACTCCCACTCCCACTAATGAGTTGGGTCCCCAGAGCTTGGTTACATCTCCCCCTCAAGGCACTAGAGAACCCTTGAGGAGTCAAGCATAATCTCTAATGTCATCAGTTATGGCCACATTATACTCATTACACTCAACCACTCCCTAAAATTATCAGATGAAAGTAATTTAGTCAGTATGCCTTAAATAACTTTTATAAAGGGATATTTACTAAGGTGGTACAAGGACAATCTTCCACAAGCACATGCATGGCCCAGGATAAAATAAGTTCAATTTAGAAAGCACATGTAAGTGGTAAGTCACAACTTCAGGCTGCTGGAAGGTCTTTTCTCCCATTCATGAGGTGTTGAAGAAATTCCCCTAAGCCCTGTTTTATATCTGGGCCCTGCAGTCTTTTTTTGTCAGAATTGTGTCTTCCAGACTATATAGGCCATACACCTACAGTTGGAAGCAAACAGCGGGTACCATCCAATGTCCCCCCACCATTCCCTGGATGCAGTCTGTGCTCTGGTCCAGTCAACCTACTCTTTGGGACCCCCTCGAGGCAGGGACAGCTCTATACCCCTTGCCAGCAGGAAGCAATTTCAGAAGCCAAGATCTTCGCCCCTTTACCCCAAAAGAATTTGGGTCCCATTTGTTTGAGGGGGGAATGATGAGGATGGGAGCCATACCCCAAAAAGGAAAAACCCTGGACTTTCCCACATGGCCAAATCTCTGATGTTCCCCTGAGGCTATAATCCCATCAAATGGCTTTTCACTGTGGCTATGCCCAATCTCTTACCCTTAACCTAGCCTGGCCCCCCACTGTTTTACCTCCCAGTGGCCCTGCCCTGCCCCCTCCCCATTTCCCACCTTTAATCCTATCTAGACTCCATTCTCCCTTGGCCACCCCTGGACTTCTATTACCTCAGACTACTTAGCCACTCCTACATCCCTCCCATCTTTTATTTTAAATTTTATTAATTTATTTTGATTTATCAACAATCACTTCCATATGCTTTTTTTTTGGGGGGGTAGGCAATGGGGTTAAGTGACTTGCCCAGGGTCACACAACTAGTAAGTGTCAAGTGTTTGGTCTGAGGCCAGATTTGAACTCAGGTCCTCCTGACTCCAGGGCTGGTGCTCTATCCACTGCACTACCTAGCTGCCCCACTTCCATATGCTTTTGAGTTTAAAATCTTTCTCCCCCTTCCTCCTCACCACCCTCCCCAAGATGGTGCACAATCTGATATAGGCTATACTTTTACATTCCTATTAAACATATTTTCACGTTAGTGGTGTTGTACGTAAAAATTAAAAGCAATAGGAGGAACCATCAGAAAGAAGAAACAAAACTCAACAGAAGAGAAAAAAATAGCAATTCAACTTTCATAGTTCTTTCTTTGGATGTGGATAGCATTTTCCATCATGAGGCCTCTGGAGATGTCTTAGATCCTTGTATTGCTGGGAAGGGTTAAGTTTATCAATATTAGTCATCACACAGTGTGGCTATTATTGTGTACAAACATTCTCTTGGTTCTGCTCATTTCACTGAGCATCAGACCATACAAGTCTTTCCAGGTTTTTCTGGTCAGCCTGTTCATCATTTCTTATAGAACAATAG